GGGATTTGAAATGTGAAGTGATACGAGTTACAAAAACCCAAGGCAATGTATGTATTGGGCATCTTGTGAGGCAGTCTGAATATTGCTCCGATATAACCCGCCACTGAATAATACCAAGCCCTGGCTCCTTCATATAGGTTGCCGATAAGTGTGAGCCGTGGGTTGGGATTACTGATGTATAACTGATCATATCCGAACTGCCGGGATAATTAGAAAGGTTGATAAGACTCAATAAAGTATTACCGCTCTGCTAGAAGACAAGATAGCCCAGGTGAATATTGAGGAGCCAGCAGAAGATGCCTTTATTCAAATTTGTAAAGGCATTAAGGCCTCTCACATCCTGATACGTTTCTCCATATCTGCCACCATCAAAATCATGGAAGCAACGGAAAACATGGTAATTGTTGTCCCTGGATAAGATTTTCAAGACAAGAACCATGTACCAACCTTCCCACTTGGCAGTTTCAAGCCGCTAGACGAAAGGAATAAAAGATCCACTGTATGGAAAGACTGTCGTCATCAGCGAGGGGCAATGAAGAAAGAACCAGGACACCAAATAGGTATATGGCATTGGCACGCGTGGGTTAAGAGTCTTCAAAGTCTTCTTCCCATCGGTGCTCATCTCTTTGACTAAGAGGAAGTCAAAAGTCAACTCCCGCAGGCTGCTCTGTAGGCAACATACCATTGCCGAGAGGAGGTTTAGTGGTCTCCCGTGAGCCAGGAGAACCATAGGGTACACCACTTCAACTGCAATAGATTTAAGTAGCTTTGTAGGCACCACACATCGCTTTAGCCATAACATCAAGAATCTGGCGAATCAAGCCATATCTGAAATGAGAGTTTGAGCTTGATAGTGGAGACTGTCAAAGTCAGTGAAGGGTGAAAAACATCCTCCTTGGCCTCATTCATATAATGAGTGGTGGTAGCATCAATGCGAGCCTTGATGTCATCAAGAGAACTCGTAGCGAGACAGGTTACTTCGGCATCTTTTTAATTCGGATTCTGAAATAAATATTCAGCCCTGAACACCTATTTGATATCGCCTCCTCGTAGCCCCGACAGTTGAGCGCAAATGTGGAAGTGACACATCACTTCCTAAAAAGTCTCTTAAATAGCGGGATTTGCCGTTTTCAAAATTGAGCTCTTCAGTCCCTGATGGTATATACATGAGGGTTTTCTTGTTTGGATTATTTCCCTCGACGTGCGACGTCTCGAGTTATAGATTTTTAAGTATTAATCTCATCTAGTTGTATGACCATGTAATTTGGATGATTATTCTGATCGCTAGTTGCATGACCTCGTTCACCTATTGATTTTTGGATTACTCTGATTATTATCGTAGTAAATTGTATTTAGATTGTTAGAATTCTAGTACCATGCTTCTATTTATTATTACTATTATCGCATTGGTCGCTCGACCGTTTCTATTCTTCCTTGTGTGATCTTGTCGTGTACCATGCACGCTGGCATGATATAATGACCATAAATTTCTAATATAAGTTTAAATTTTTTTCTAGTATTTAAATATTAAAATCTTATTTTAAAAAGAGTAGTTTTATTTTTCCTAATTTTTTAGAATTTTCTATTACTTAAAAATACGGTTTTATATTATTTTAATGGTTTTGTTAATTATAAATTTAATTATTTCGATAAAACTTTTTTAATCAATATTTAATTATACATTATTGTTATTGTTAATATTATTTTGACCATAAATTTTCAATATTGATTTGAATAAATTTTGTGGTATTTTAAATATTAAATTATTTTTTAAATGGGTATTTTTCCTTGTGTTTTCCTCTCTCCCCTGTAAACCATCTCTCTCTCCCCTACCCCACCCCCCTAAAACCCTCCCCAATTCAGCTAATCTCCCTCCCTCGTGTTTCCCCTGATTCCCTCAAAACCCACGCTCACCCTCACTCTCTCGCTCTCTTCCCCCACGAGATTCTCTCTCACCTCCTCAAAAATCCCCACGCTCATCCTCTCTCATTGCACAGGCCACCACACCCTCTCGTCTCTCTCTCACTGTCACTGCTCATTCTCTCTTCATTCTTTCTCTCCGCCTTCAGCCTCACGCAGGCCCATCTCCTGCCATTGATGATGGCCGTAGCCCCAGTCGTCCGCTCCGTCTCTCTAATAGCCACCTGCCTCACCCAGCTCTGCCCGTCGTCACACTTAGCTAAGCCATTGCCACCCCCAGCCCCAACAACGCAGTGGCCGCCACTCCTGTTGTCATTAGCGTGCCCTCAACGCGCTAAACTGGTTGCCTCCTCCGTGGTTGTGACCACCAACCAGCGCCACCCGACTCAGCTGCCGCTCAGCGCGACCAGCAGCCTCCCCCTTCCCTCTTCCTCCCTCCGTCACAGAGCCACGCTCTCTAGTTCCTCTCGTCCTGTCGCAATCCTCACCAATCAGAGCTTAGCTCGGCCCCGCAAGTCGGCCGCTCAGCCCATCCCCTCACTCACCACGTCACCCCCAAGCCCGTGTGTCCCCGCTCCTTCTTTCCTCACCGTCGGCCCAGCTCCTTGTCGCAGCTGCCGCCCCTGCTCTGTGCCTCAAGCTCTCGACCGCGACGCAACGCCCCTGCGTCGACCCGCCTCCCAGGTCCTCTCCTCGTCCGGCCTAGCTCCATCCCCCGCCCTTCCATCAGCTGCGAGCCGCCGAGAGATCCACCAGCCGCTCACAGCCCCTCTCCCCATCGACACTGCTACGTCGAACCAGCCATCCTCCTCCTGCGCTCATACGCTGCAGCCCCTCTCCTCCTGCTACCCGCTCGACATAACCAACCGCACCTGCCTGAGCTCAATCCCCAAGCTCGAACTCCCACATCTCCCGAGCAGCCCCTTGCCGTCGCTCGCTGTGCCCCAGCTCCGCCTCACCGCTCCGCTGCTCTTCCCGAGCTCCCTCGACCCAGATACGTCGTGTCGTCACCTTCCCTTTAGATCCGTTGCGCCACATCCCAACGACATTCGTAGGCAAGATCCTCTTGCTCATTGGCTTGTCATTTTAATATTCATTTATGTTATTATTGATTACATAGATTAGTTGTGATATAATTATCTGTGTAGGATTGTTTAATGAAGAATATTAAATATATTATAGTAATATGATAAATAGCATTTTTAAAATAATTATAATGAATCAAAAGAATTTAGTTCAGCAAAAGAATCATTTTTTACATAATTATAATAATTTAAAGGAATTTATTTTGGAAAATGAATTATTTTAAATTAATTGTTAAGAGAAATAATTTAAAATGAATTAATTTAGAAAAAGATTATTTTCTAAATTGTGTAGGCGTTGTTTATGACTTATAATTCTTAATTTTGATTATATGATATGCCATGACATTATTGCACATGAATAGTTGCATTGATTGTTCCTTGTTGTGATTGAGAACCGTTAGGAGTTTATGACCTTAGTGCTCTTGTGTGTCGTGTATAAGACCTAGGATATGTATTGTCTTGACTTAGCAAAACGAGAAGAGTTGTGATGAGAAAGTCATGGTTCATATGATCGGATAAGGCTGTTGATGTATCTTCCGGGCTCGTACCAGTGGATCGGTGTCGCCACTGGGGTTGGTCTGTTGGGCCAGTGAATTAGTTTGTCACGTGGTTCGTGGGAATTTATTCCTTCACCCGAGTCGGCTTGAGTTTGGACCAGGCCGATATCAGATTGTGTGTAGTTCTCTCACCGAATTTTATTATTTTATTGCTTGCTTGTAGCGGGGTGGGATGCACGTAGGGGATTTGTGAACAGTCAGTATCCGATGACAGGAACGTTGACTCTATGTGAGATATGTACCAGTGACCTGTTATAGAATGGCTAGTTACATGATATCGTTACATGGACGATTATGAGTTGTTGTGAGATACGGACCCGTTATATTTCTTTTCATATATAGATCGGGATTAATATTTACTTGTCTACAATTTGAGAAATATGGTATATACATGAGGGTTTCCTTGTTTGGATTATTTCGCTCGACGTACTACATCTCGAGTTGTAGATTTTAATTATTAATCCCATCTAGTTGTATGACCATGTTACTTTGATGATTATTCTGATCGCTAGCTACATGACCTCATTACCCGATTGATTTTTGGATTACTCTGATTATTATAGTAGTGAATTGTATTTAGATTGTTAGAATTCTAGTACCATGCTTCTATTTATTATTACTATTATCACATTGGTCGCTCGACCATTTCTATTCTTCATTGTGGGATCTTGTCGTGTGTCATGCACGCTGACGTACTCCTATTCTATCGGGTTGTACGTCAGATCTAGAAGACGGACAGCTTCAGTTCGGAGGCGTACAAGAGCCAGAGGATCCTCCGTAGGAGTGCTTTGTAGACTGAGCAGAAGAAGCCCAAGCCTAGTCATTTCTTTTATCAGCTGTTGGTCCTTAGTTTACTTTTATAGCCCTTCCAATTTCCGCCTGATTATTGTATTTTATATTTTCCAGCATTCAGATCATTTTGTATAAGGGCATGTTTGGCCCAAATATTATGTCTGGGATGATGTTTCAGTTGTGATATGTATCGTTTTGTTTTGAGTTGTTTATTATATTCTCGCTACTATGATTGGGGACCTATGCCTTCGCTTTATATTGCTTGATGCTTAGCGTATTAGATTGAGTAGAATGGTCTAGTACTTTTCTCCCCAGTCTAATACGTCACGGGCTTGATCGCGTCCTGATTCCCCGGTAATTTGGGAAGCGGGGAGTGACAGGTTTTTATTGTGGCCCACGTAGGTCACGGTCCCGAGTTTCCACCGGTGAGAATATAATGGATAATTTAAACGCATATCATTATTTCATCCATAAGACTATACTTAGCCTTTATCCTAGTATTTTGAAAAATTATATTTTAGTCCCTACCTTACTCAATTTCGATTTTAATTTTGACTTGATTTTCTTATTCTTCCTGCAATGATTTTGATCCTCGTTCTTCTCTTTCTTCGCCTTCCCTTTAGAACCATGGTGGGTACACGTAGTAATGGTAACCCGTCCGGTAGTAGTAACCCGCCGCCCGAAGTGGACTCGCGCCAACTCCTAGCAATGATTCTAGGATTAGCGACGAATCAGTAGCATCTGGATGGGCAATTACAGTGGGAGCCTCACCATCCTCCCCCTCGCACAGAGCCTGGTGTTAGGGAATTTCGGTACATACGACCTCCTTCCTTATTTGGTGCTGGCGGACCTCTAGCAGTAGAGGAGTTCCTTAAGGTTACCGAGACCATTCTCATAGTGACCTGTATTGCTCATGTAGAGTGGACAGACCTTATGGATGTCCAGCTCACCGATACTGCACGAATTTGGTGGACGGTCGAGAAGACCCATCTTGTGAGGCTGATTTCATGGGAGACATTCACAGAGCGTTTCAACTGGAAGTATTTCCCCCAGTCTTCTAGAGACGAGCTTCTTCGTCAGTTTGTCAAGCTCAAGCAGAGAGGTCGATCGGTTGATGAGTACGAGGCTGAGTTCTCCTCTCTTAGCCGGTATGCTCCTCACCTAGTTACTGACCCCACCATCAGGAGGCATCAGTTCCAAAAGGGTCTGGATAAGTATATCAAGTTTGCTCTGGCTAGTAGGGCACTTGCGACTCATGACGTCGTGCTAGACGTAGCTCGCGAGATAGAGAGTGTTCAGAAGGTACCTGAAGATCCGCATGTGGTGCAAAGCATACCACCAGTGGCCCTAGCCCGAAATGT